TTTCCTCTCTCCTCTACAGTGCTCTGCTTTCTTTCTTCTATTGACTACTTTGCTTTAAAAAAAAAAAAAATTCTCCAACAAAGAAAATTTCTCTAAGCAAGAATTTTAAATTGTTCTTTATTGTTTAGGTTTCAATGATACTTAGATTCTGAGAGTTACCCCTGTGCTGTAATAGGCATTTCAAAGTATTTTTAGACACATACACATTTCTCTCACTATCAAGAATTTTGGGGCCTGATGTTAAAATAATAAACTTTGTTTTTCCTTTTTGTATGTTATCCCAGTAGCTACAAGTGAAAAGGAGGCTGTATGTAAGAACCGTGAGAATTGCAAATAGTTCACAGACAACATGGCTATGGAGACTTTGCGGCAAAATATGACACAAAGAGATGGAGGCATGTAGCTTAAATTAAATTAGGCAATTCTGAGGGATCTACAGTTTGAGTGAAATTCTAGCTGAGCAGCAGCTGTCATGACATGCAGTTATTCTGGTGCATAAAATGGTTTTAGCACCCAGTGGAAGAATGTCAGGTCTGGAGTCACCTTCAGGAAAAGTATTCAGTTCTTAAATGCTTTTCATGCAATCTACTATGGATGTAGACTTTTAAAAATCATACTGTTGTTTTTCTAGAACAGAAAAGACGCAGATTTCCTGGAAATGATCACATTATAAGGGTATTCTTCGTTGCTTTCAGTTTCACTCTGAATTACAATGAAAGAAAAAAACACATTTCAAATAGTCTGGAAACAACAGATCGTTTTTCTGGCTGGAAAACTTATACAAAGCCATTTTAAAACATAATGTGGAAAGAGTGTGTGATTTGGAGGGAGCAAGCGGGAGAACATATGTGAGAGTAGCAGCACATTCCTTTTGTTATTTTTAGGAGCAAATACAAGGCAGTCAGTTATTTTTTAATCTTCTACAACCAGGCTGGTCATTTTAGAAAGCTGCAGGTGGGCCTTTGCCAAAGCTGATTTCATGGTCAACAGTGACTGCCCCAAAGTCCATGTGCCTGACTCTTCAAAAGGTAAAAAATGAAGGCAGTTTTTGGGGGTGTTTTCCCGCTGCCTTCTTAGACCACTGGTGCTCTTGTAATAAATGCTTATTCTGTGACCCAACTCCTGTGTTGGTCTATTGGCTGAGCTGCGCAGGCAGCATGAAACCTGGACTTATTTGGCCTCTGGTTTCCTATCTGGCAACCATGAAGGGATAGTCTCGGGGCTCCTCCGGTAACTCTTTCGGCTTGTGGAGGCTCTTGAGGGCTGCCTGGGACTGGGTGGATTCCTTGGCATAAGACTGACCTCTGGAAGCAGCTGCCGAGTGATTTTGCTCACGAAGGTGAGGTTTGTGCCAGGGCTCACCCGTCACGGATGCCTTTTTTGCTCAGTTGGGTTAGAATAAGCATTTGCTCTGTTTCCTGCCTCTAATTACTGGTTCGGAAAGTGGGGTGGCCCCTGTGTGCACAGCCATCTGGGACTCCTCTTTGAGGGCCATCTGGGGGTCATACTGATCCATTGGCGCCAACAGGTGAGGTTACAATATCCAGCGAGGCATTGTCTTGGAGTAGAATTAACCCCTGGTCGTTCGCAGAATGTACAAGAATTTACGAGACTCTACAAGAGTATGCGGATAAAATATTCACTGAAAGTCTCAAAGGGGGCTAGAGAGTTCTGTTTGGAACTGGCAGAAGTTTTGCTAGGGCAACGTGAGAGGGAGAGTTGCAGAGATAGTGGAGTAAGAGAGAAATACTGGCAAGTGGAGTTTAGCCACGGCAGAGTCCAATGGGGGACAGCTGCACCGACGAGAAGGAGCAGTGGGGTTCTGTAGTTTTCCAAGTAGGATGTAGGGTGCTTGTCAGTTTGCAGGAGGCTGCCATTACTATAGTCTTCTCCTGGGAACTGTCCTGTTCCCATCTATGATAAATGTCAGCTTGCAGGGTGTTGCTGTTGTGATTGGGAACCGTTCTGTTCCATCTATGATGGGTGTTTGTTACTGGGCAGGGGGTTACCGTTGTGATTGGGAGTGGTTCTGTTCTCACCTATGATGGATGTAGGGTGCTTGTCAGCCTGCAGGTGCAGTGCGGGCCGGGAGAGTCAGAGCCAAATGGTTTATGTTTAAGCTTGTTCCTGTTAGCCCACAAGCTCGCTCCTGTTAACTCTTTGCCTGTCCCATCCTGCCAGCTCACAAGCCCACTCCCGTTCACTCTTTACTTGTCTCAACAGGCACAATACACCCACCAGAGAGGGGTTCTTGTTGCAAGCTTGGTCTAGCTCTGGTAAGCGCACTTGCGGTTGGCAGCATTGTTCCCAGGTGCAGAACCCATCTGCGTCACTGTAAAGGCCACCAGGTCTGATTTCAGCCTTCTGGCATCTGGTGATCTTAAGGTCACATCTGGTTTCTGGTTTTATCCCACTGGCAGATTGTCTGATGGTCGAAGAACCATGTACATGAAGTAAGACAACATGTTATCTGAATCTGGCACCTAGCTAGGTCTGGTTTATCTGGTGTTTGGATCCGAATCTGAGTTTTCTGCTTTTTGACTGTCTGATCCAGGGAATACTTGGATCTTGTCTGTGTGTGCAAATTTGTACTAAGAGCGGCTGCATTTGATCCAGCTCAATAATGGGATTTAAGGTTTCAATCCCGCTGGGAACCCATTGGCAAGTTACTAGGCCATTGGCAAATCTATGGTGATGAGCCGTTGACCAAAAAGAAATTAATGTTCTATTACGTACTGCTTGGCCAATGTATATATTAGATTCTTGAGGGTGCTGGTCCCTCAATGGTTCATTGAATTATTATACTGTTTTACAACTGGAATTGTTCTGTTAGAGGTCTGGAAAATAAGATGAAATTTCTTATGTATAAGCCTTTATGATAGACTCAGAATAGAAGGGAACAAACTGATAGTTCAGAGAAAAGTAGACTCCATTCATCTCCTAATCCATTTATAACCAGGAATGCATGAGGCTGAGGTAACTGAAGGACAAAAAGAGACACTTAGAAAGCCAAGCGGCTAATTCTAAACCATGCCAGATCCCTCACTCCTTGTTCCAGTTTCTTTGAAATTCTAGGGGCAATTGTCAGATCTTAGGACCTTTCTACAATTGTTAATAATTCTGTTTATATGTATATGATCTCTGATCTGTGATTGTGTTTTATGTACAATATAATGCAGTGTTTTTGCCTCTGGATGGTATTCCCAGATTATATTCGATTGGCTTAAGAAAAAAGATTAAGCACTTACATAAATTTAAATGAAAACTAACTAAAGCACTTTTCAGAATCATGTGATCTAAGAAAATATTTGATACTAAGTCTGGTTTAATTTTTGGTTATATAGATATGTCTTTTAAGGTTATTATTAACTTTAAATATGGTATCTTTTGTTTTACAAAAATTAACTTATGTTATCTCTGTTATAAAATTTGTCAAAAAAATAGCTTGGGTAATAATTACCCAAATCTCAGGGTTAAGAACTAATAAAATGTTAACTGAAGATAGGTTTTAGATGAAACTTTTCAGTAATAATTATATAATGTGGGTGCTTTGATGAGGTTTCTCAGCATCTGTTGATAACTTAAGATTTCAGTTTTACTAAGTTGTTTAAATGATAAAAATTATTGAATATCTAAGTTTTTCAAAATAATGAAATACTGAAATATGAATTATTAGTAGGTCTGAGTTTATCTATTTCTGGTTTCTTGTCACAGAAAAGCTAAAAGATAGGTTAAGATCTGTTAATAAATATATATTGTATTTTACTACAAAACCTATACTTCTAAAGTTGCAAAATGTATTGTGAATTTGCTATGGAAATATTGGTTAATTGCTTTCAGTTGTCAGTAGAAATTAAGGATCTGAAGGTTATAGTTTCTAATTAACATGGAAGGAAATGATGTATGTTTTCAAGGAAGGTATAAGGTATAGAAATGCATTTTTGAAGGAACTAAAAGAAAGCAGTTTGTCCTAAGGATGGTTATTTCTGAATGAGATGAGACAAACTTAAAGAGACTGGGAAAGTTATAGAAGTTTTGTAAGAAAAATCTTGAGAGAATTTTATATATGGTTAAGCTGAATGTGATTAAGTAAATTTAAATATCAAAAGTAAGCTGGTACAAAAGTAGCTGTTTTCTCTCTCTCTGCTAAATAAGACAAAGTTTGTTAGACTATTGGTCTGCTACTGATTTTATGAAAAAGTTTTCTGCCTGAAAAGCAAAGATTATATGTGTAATCAAAGTAATTTTCTGTTTTAAGAGGGGTTTTTTTTGTTTTTTGTTTTTGTTTTTTTTAGCTGAGCCATCCTGCTACCTGCTGGCAGCTCAGCGGCTGCTCAACTCGGGCTGGACTCGAACCGCTGTTGCTTAGAGCTCAAACTCTTGAGCGAGCTCTTAACCAACTGAGCCACTCGGCCGGCCCTAATTTTCTGTTTTATATTGTCTTAAATAGGTATTTAGTTACTCAAGAAAATTAAATCTAAGAGCTAAGTTTTGCTAATATTTATGCGAACTTCTGCATTTTAGGACTGCTAGAGCTCATGTGCCTGCCTCAGCGTCAGAGTCTAGGCCAGTGTAAGGAAGCTTAGCCTAATGTTTTCCCTAACCTGGCAGGGCTATACTGGTTCTGGCCCACTGTTACCTCCCTGATAAAGAGGTTCCGATCCTAAAAGAAGAAAGAAGGCCAGGGAATTTGTTTAAATGTATTTAACAACCGAGACAGGAAAAACAAGGAAAGAAAGGAACAGTGAGACTGTAGATGAGGCAAGAGGCAGGCCAGATTTTTGGCTGCCGCTAATAGACAGGCCAAGGCCAGGGCGACCCCCGCAACCCCAGAGGAGGAAAAGAAGCTTGCTGTGGAAGTGAAAGCCCAGGCCACTGGGGTAAGGAGTTTCCTAATCCTGAAAAGCAGCCAGCATGCCTCCTACGTAAAGTAAAAGGGCACTAGGGGAGGGATTGTCTCCTGCTCTGAAGAGGGCAGGGACCAACTCCCTCCCCACAAATGGCTGCGGTTGACTAGTGGGTCTGGGGTTCCCAGTGGCTCTCCAGAGGAAAAAGTCCTGCTCCCCAGAGGAAAGAGGCAATTCTCATCATAGTGGAGGAACTGCAGGTGACCCTTGTCGTAACAGGTAAGCCTGTTAATTTCCTAATTGATATGGGAGCCATTTATTCTGTCTTAACCACTCACTCTGGACCTATTTCCTCTAGACCTGCTCCGTTGTGTAGATAAATAGAGCCCCTAAACTTGGGCTCATTCTCTAGCCTGTTCCTTACCATTGGCCTCTATACCTTAGAGGAGATGTAAAACAAGCAAATCAGAATTATAAAGGACTCTGGAACAGTTTTGTCAGGAGACTTTTAAGCTCTGGCTCTAATTGCTGCCCATTGCTTTGGATTCTGATCTATGTCCTATGTTGTTAACTTGGGGGAGAGGTTCAGCAGTTACTTAGGAAATATGGGGAACTGGCACCTCCCACAGGCCCACTCCTCTACACATTGGAGTCCCAGAAAGCCAGGTGACCAAGTACTATTAGAAGCCTAGAGGGAAGGGTCTCTAATAGATCAGTTAGCTCCTAAATGGAAGGGACTCTTTGCAGTCCTTCCGAGCACCCCAACTGTTATCAGGCTTCAGAGAGTCAGTGGCTGGGTCCACTTCCCTTGAATCAAACTTATTTCATTGAAGTCTCTGAAGAGTCAAGTAAAGAGTGAACGGGAGTGGGCTTGTGAGCTGGCAGGATGGGACAGGTGAAGTTAACAGGAGCCAGCATTTGAGCTAACAGGAACAAGCTTAAACATTGACTGCTTGGCTCTGACTCCCCTGGCTAGCACTGCACCTGCAAGCTGACAAGCACCTTACATTCATCATAGGTGGGGAAAAAACAGTTCCTAATCACAGCGGCAACCCCCTGCAAGCTGACACCCATCATAGATGGGAACAGGACAGTTCCCAGGAGAAGAGAATTGTAACAGCAGCCCCCCTACAAGCTGACAAGCACCCTACACCCTGCATTAAAAAAATATAAAACCTCAGCACTCCTTCTCATTGGTGCAGTTGTCCCCCATCCAACTCTGCCCTGGCTAAGATCCATTTTGCCAGTATCTCTCTCTTACCCCTCTGTATCTGCAGCTGTCCCTATCAGGTTCTGTGCTGGCAAAACTTCCCTTTGACAGAACTGTCTCTCTTTGACTTTCAACAAACCTTTGTTTACTCTTGTAGAGTCTCAAATTCTTTTTACATTCTGCGAATGACCAGGGGTTAATTCTACACCAACCAAGACAGTCTCCACAGGACTCCCCCAGAAGGAAAACAGTCACTCCTGTTCCTGAGAGCCTATTGAAGACCTGAAGCTCCTCTTCAAACAGAGCTGTTGGAGCTGCTCAGTTTTGTCTCTCTACTGTGCCCCACCTGGAATACCCATTGAACACCTTTGGCTCTCCTTTTCCCCGGGTTTCTCTAGGGAGAATAAGCAAAGAATTCTAGTGCCCATAGGCACTCGCAGCAGGAAGCAGCCAAAAACAGTCATCATCTCCTACCCTTGCAACCATACTAATTTTATACAAATAAAATGAATAAAAGGGGGAATTGAAACAATGCGCAGTTGGCACCTCCATAGAAGAGGCCTTTCCATGTCCCTGGCCTCACCTTCCCTTGACCTATAGCTTAATAGATCATCCGCCTGCAGCTTGAGCTCAGAATGTCCCCTGTCCCACCCAGTTTCCTGTTTTAGAAAATTACCCTGAAACTTATGATGAATACCCTTAGGCTTATTGATCACAATCTCAATGGTCTCACATTCTTTCCAGGCTACTCCAATAATTTTCCCTGGGTTGCTGACTCCACCATAGAATCACGTGGCCAGAGGGAAGGCTCCATGCAGACCCCCTGAACCATCATGTAGTCTCTGGAGGAACGCCCAGATTTCTCCCTTAAAAACCCTAAGCCGGTCTGAGAATGTTAAGGCAGTTTTTGGAGGTGTTAACCCACTGCCTTCTCAGACCACCGGTGCTCTGAAAATAAACGCTTATTCTATGAAAAAAAAAAAATGGCCCCAAACTAGATGGGGTCAAAGAGACTGAGCATTTCACCCTGTTATAAGAGAAGTCATCATGTTTCCTCCCCTCTAGTTCATTCACAATACATTAGTTATAGTGGTTAAAAAATGACTGTGATAAATTACATATAACATAAAATTTATCATTTTAACCATTTTAACATATACAATTCTCTGGCGTTAAGTAAATTCACAATGTTATCACTCTGTAGTTCTAGAACTTGATCACTGAATAGAAACCCCAAATCCATTAAGCAGTTACTCTACATTCTCCCCTCCCCCCAGCCTCTGGCAAACATTAATCTGTGTTCTGTATCTATGAATTTGCCTCTTTTAGATATTTCATATAAATGAAGTTTTACAACATGTGGCCTTTTTATCTTTATCTTCACATGGGATAGTATGTTTTAGGTTCATCAGTGTTCAACATTTATTAGTATTTAATTTAATTAATTTTTTTGCCAAATAACATTATATTTTATTAATATAGTTCACTTACCCTATTTTCAGTTGATGGGTATTTGGGGTGTTTCCACTCTTTAGCCATTATGAATAATGGTGCTGCCATGGACAGTTTTAGAGAAGTTTTTTGTGTAGATATGTTTTCATTTGTCTTGGTACACACCTAGGATTGGAACTGCTGGGTCATAAGGAAATTCCCATTTAACCGTTAGGGGAATTCCCAGACTACTTTTTAAAGTAATTTTACCATTATACATCCCCATTAGCAGTCTGTAAGCATTCTAATTACAACACATCCTCACCAACCCTTATTTTTATCCATCTTTTTGAGTATAGCCATCTTGGTAGGAGAAAAGTAATATTGCATTGTAGTTTTCATGTGCAGTTCTCTAATGACTAGTAACATTAAGTGTCTTTTCATGCGCTTCTTGGCAACTTGCGTATGTTATCTGAAAATTTTTCTGTTCATATTCTTTGCTCATTTTTAAATTGGGTTATTGTTTTGTTTTATTATTGAGTTTTGAGTTCTTTACATAGTTTGGTAGAAGTCTCTTACCAAATATATAATTTCCAAAAATTGTCTTTCATTCTGCTGTTGTCTTTTCATTTTCTTGATTGTACCCTTTGAAGCACAAAATTTTCTAGTTTTGGTAATATCGCATTTATTATTTATTTTGCTACCTGTGTTTTTGATGTCATGTCTGAGGAGCTATTGCCTAATCCAAGCCTTGAAAATTTACCTATATGTTTTCTTTCAACATTTTAATAGTTTTAACCCTTAAATTTTTTTTTAATACCTTTTATTTTTTAAAGATTTTTTTTATTGGGGAATTGGGGGATGGGGAACAGACAAGTTGCTGTCCTCCCGTTCTTCAGTCTAGCTGTGGAGGAGGACGTTGGTTCACTGGCCCAAGCTGGCACCACCACTGCACTCCTCCCAGGTGAGGCAGAGGACGGCCACTCACGGTGGCCCATGGCAACCCACTGCAGTAGGGGCTGCAGCCTACACTGTTGGCGGCGACCCAAGGCAGCCCAGCTCCAAGTTGAGCTGCTGTTCAGCATCCTAGCTGTAGAGGGCAGTGTCACCAGCCCTCATATGTGGGACCCGAACCGGGGCCCTCTGGCGTCCCGAGCCAGCTCCCAACCAACGCGCCACTCGGCCAGCCCATAACCTTTAAGATTTGAGTTATTTTTTGTGTACAGTGTGAGGTAAGGGTTTGAATTCATTCTTTTGCATTTGTGAGTTTCCTAGGACTGCTATAAAAAATTACTGCCAACGGGATTTACCCTCTGAAAGTTCTAGATGCCAGAAGTCCAAAGTCAAGATGTCAGCAGGCTATCTTCCTTCCATAGGCTCTAGGAGATATTCTGTTCCAGGTCTCTTGCAGCTTCTGGTGGCTACCAGTACTCCCTGGTTTGTAGCTATTAAATCTGTTTCCACCTTTACATGGCCACCTACTTTGTTTGTTTGTTTGTTTGTTTGTTTGTTTGTTTGTAGCTGAGCCATCCTGCCACCTGTTGGCAGCTCAATGGCAGCTCAGCTCAGGCTGGGCATTGAACCGCTGTTGCTCAGAGCTTGCACTCTTGAGCAAGCTCTTAACCAAATGGCCACCTACTTTGTGTTTGTGTCTTTTCTTCCGTCTCTTGTATGGACACTTATTCTATTTATTGCCAACCCATGTAAATTAGGATAATTTTATCCCAAGATCATTAATTTAATTACATGCGCAAAGACCCTTTTTCCAAATAAGGTCATATTCAGAAGTTCCAGGTGTTAAAATATGAACATACTTTAGGGTGGAACCACCATTAAACTCACTAAAATATAGCTGAATTATATTATATCTGTCATTTTGCTTTTTGTTTTCTAATTTCTCACCAATTTCTTGTTCTTTTAGTTCTCCTTTATTGTTTTCTTTAGTAAGACATGAATACTTTTTAGTTTAACATTTTAATTCCATCAATGATTATCTTACTACATTTTAATGACTTTCACTATATTCTTAGTTATTTTCTCAGTGAATCTTCTAAGCTTACCACATACATTTTATCTTATCAGAATTTACTTCATAATTATATTAAATTATTTCCAGTGAGATACAGAAATGCTATAACTCTATTCATTTTTCTCCGTTTTGTGACATTATTCTTATAGATACTATATCTACACATGTAACAAACATCTTAATGGTATAATGGTTGCATTACATGTTTTTATACCTCTTTTTTTATTTTATTAGTTTCAGGTGTAGAAAACAACATAATGATTAGACATTTACATCCCTCACAAAGTGATAACCCCACCAAGTCTACTACCCATCTGACATTGTACACAGCTGTTACAATACCATTGACTATATTTCCTATGCTATACCTTACATCCCATGACTATATATATACCAGGGATGCCAAAAAAAATGTATACAAGTGGACACTTTGGTCAACATGACTCAAGAAGTACTTGAGTACTTCACATCCAGAAGTGCCTGGATGCTGATGTAACTACTTTGAGCACCTCTTGTAATTGCAGAAGTCAAACGTGATTTGTATTCACCTTTTGTTATTGGTATATATTGAGTATTACAATTTTAATATAGTTTTCCTTTCTTAAAATA